GGCATTGGTATTGGTGTGACTTTTGAATTGATTTTTTCGCTCTATTTTAAACTAATTTGAAATTTTAAAAATTGCCTGCACATCAGCATCAAAATACCTTTCTAATGATATATAATTGTTTATACCTTAGAAGTACAGTTTAGCCGTAAAAGGGGTGTAAAGGAAACATGATTGCCTATTTATATAATGATTTGAATAAATTAGGATTATATTAAATGATTATCTCGCCGTTATTAATTTGTTATATAAGATGTGGGAGTAGCGATTTGTCTATGGATGGTGAGCGGAATAGTAGGCTAATCTTAATTGTATTAAAATTCTCAGTACATATATATGGGCAAATCTAAAAAAAAACATGGTAATCTTTGTGTTATTTAGCTTTATTTTCACTGTTGTAAACTATATCAAGCTGGTTGCTTTTGGATACAATTCAATGACGTATACTTGAAGCCTCAAAAAAAAATTGGATCAATTTGCTGTAGAACTTTTGAATTACAGGTGTTTAAATTAAAAGGAAAATCATGAAAAAAAGTGAATTTTTTACGTTATTTTTTTTTAAGAGGTCATAACTTTTGAAGCACACTATATTCTGATTTGAAATTTAATTGACATTTAGCACTTATGTTTACACTTCATATTTAGTAGGTAAGAAAAGTGTGCATTAAAAAATAACGAAATGGCAAGCAACTCAAAGTCTGTAACTCCACATTTCACGATTTTCAAAATTTTCGGTTTATCGCATATAGTTTTTGAAGCATTTTATCTTAAGGACTTTTTATGTATGTATTGTTTTTTACAAACAATTACGAATAATTTGATACCTTAACAAGAGGTGTGCTTTCAGAATAAACTAACTTTTAAAGATAAAAAAGTATGCGATCTTGAGCGTAATTTTTATTTCAAAAACATCTTAATTGAAGGCACATTTGGAAAATACGGCGAAACGATCTAAATCTTTTTATAACTACTAGTCCTTATAACGTTGCATATACCTGTAAAATGCTTCAAAAAAATTTTGTCTAGAAGTGTGTGTGTAAAAACCCTGATTTACTACTCCTGCTCCTTCTTTTAGCCAGAATATTTCGAGCGTGATATTAAATAAACTTTTTGTCCACAATAAATGCTCTTACTTAACTGGAGCCTTCTAAATTCAATGGCGTCCCCATTTTTAACCTATTGGCTCCACTTTTCGAGATAGATGTACTTGAAACTTTGCTTAAATTTTAACTATTTTATAAAAAAACTCCCTCGGGTTTGAAGATATTTTACTAAAATTTTGCACACGATTGTATATCACTACCTCTTAAAATCATCGAAATCGATTCACTATAACATCTAGCGCCCATACAACTGATTGTTCAGAGACGTTGTTTTGCCTTAGAACTGCTCCAATTAAACGGGTAAAAATTTTGTATAGGTTCACCTTACAATATGATATCAGATATGAAGTTAGTTGTATTGGAGCTATATGTTAAAGTGATCCCATTTCGATAATTTTAAGAAATAATTAAGGTAATATTAAAACACCGTTATGTGCAAAATTTTAGTAAAATAATTTCACAACTGAGGGAGTTATTTATAAAATAGTTAAAATTTAATAAAATTTTCAAGAAGCGTTATCTCGAAAACCGGAGTCAATCTGGCAATACAGGGGGTGCCATTGAATTTAGAACTTCCCATTAAGTGAGCTCAACTTTCAAAGTCTTTGTTAAAATTTACAACTTGCACAGCGTAATGTGAACCCAGCTTATTCTTTTGTTTTCTATTTCATGTTTATTACTCGTTTAACTTTTTAAGCACTTGATTTAAATGAATTACACTTATATTAATCGATTTATTAAGAAATGTCCATATACTTATAAATAAATTTCATCTGTGTGAAACTATAATTGAAAAAATATTCTAATCTTAAATAAAAATTCGCTTGTTTTCGACAAATTTATGGTATGTTGGGAATTAGAAAGGGGTCCAGCGTTGAAAATAATACGCTCATACGGGGACTAAGGTTGCATATCGTCCCGTTTCTGCCTTAATCTCGTATCTGCAATAGAGGTATCTTAGAGAGTGTAGGTAAAAATGCTTAAGGCGTGGCAGTTCCTAAGTTAAGGTACAAAATTTTATCGAAATTGGACCACGTTTACAATTTTTGTCCGCAGCTTATATGGGGACGTTACACTATGCGCCTTGGATATTCATACTTCGCCGCAGTCTGGCGGAGAGATATCGACGTCTTCGTCATTGACTGGGGGCTCGGGTCCGTCTCCATTACTTTCAGTGGTGCTGCCATTCAGTAGGGTGAAAAAGTGATCCCTCCATAATTTAAATACGTCCTGGACATCGGTCACTAAGTCGCTATGGTTGTTCTTATAGGAGTTCGTCCAGGTATCGAAACCTTCCGTAAGTCGTCTAACTCCCTGGTGAAATTTTTGCAGCATTTTTCCTCTCCTCTCTCTCCTCTCTTCTTATTACTGCAAATACGTCTTTACCTCTTCAGTTCTGTATAGCGGTCCCTTGCAGATCAGCTGACACGACCTGTATTATGAGATTCTCGCGTTATCGAAAACTCACCACCGCATGACGAAGAGGTTGTCGTTGCTTCTCTGTCTCTCTATCAGCTGCAATTTCATATGCTGATACGGTCGCAGGTACGAAAGGGCGCTCTGTCGATGGCTGGTTGATCTTTTAGACGGCGGGACTTAACTAGTAGAAAATGTGATTACACTGCCCGAGTATGTCGGTTTGTCGAATAGTTCTCTCAGGTATGCGAGTCGAGTAGCAAATAAATGGGTCATCTGCTGTGATTGCATCTTTTCGTCTTTGAGGTTTCCTTGCATTAAGTGTGTATAGTAACAAATATTTAGTCAGTACTAATTTGTACTGTAACCTGCAAATTTTTACTGGAAAAGTGTATAATAATCCAGAAAATATGCAAGAGAGCACGTGTAAGTGCTTGTGGGTAAAGCAAAGAGTTTAAAATTGATTTATAAATAGTAAAATTTTAACAGCAGAATGTCAAAATGGTGCAACAACTATTCACTTGCACGTTTTTACTAGTTTTGTGTTCAATAACTTTTTCTGCTAGTTTTCTCTTCTTCAAAACTTTACGCTCTATTTTGCTTTTACGCTATCGCTGCAATTTTTTAGTAGAGAAGATACTATACAAACCTATTGTTAGGCGCACAGAGGCGGCAATGCCGAGTCAATGCTTGTCCCTCGGAATGTAGGCACCTTTCCCTTTAAGTGTCCGGATATTCCAGCTGCTTACCCTCAAATCATAGTCCTTTATTCCTTGTGCCTTATGCATAAGAATCACTTCTGGCCACTCCCAGGTGAATGGCAGTCAAAAGCTTTTCCCACTTACGTGGACCTCCGCGCTAGCTTCTCTAACTTAGATGTCGAGCCCCCGCTAGTACGGAGCGGTAGATTTAAAAAGCTTTGTAAAGTTTTAATTTCATACCAAGTTCCGATTCATAAATCATTTACATGAATTCCGCAATGAACTTTGAATGTATTTAAAAAAAACTTACTTTAAAAATTATATATTTGAAAGCAAGTTAAATTTGTACAAAGTAATGATTCCTCTTGGCTTGGTCCCCATAAAACCATTATATCGACATACTTACATAAATACATATCGTCGATGTTTTTGCCAAACCGCCTATCTTACGGCACTCAAATTTTACAGGAGAGCGAAAACACGTTCCCAAATCTAATTTTTGCCACAACGGCGATTTATTTAGGCGGTTTTGCAACTGGCCGATAGAAAATAATCATACTTTTAATAAGGGTGTATTATATATATATGTATGTATATTTAAGTAAATATGTGTTAATATATGTATAGATATGTACATACATAAATTTTCTTAAAGCAGACTAGATAATCTAAAACTAAACAAATTATCATTTTATATATGTACATAGGTACGTATGTATGTACATAAATAACAACGCTAAAATTTACAACATTCCTGTTATTTTATAGCTAATTACTTAATAAAGTTATCAATAAATAGCTTTTGATCGGCATAAATTAAATATTTACAATGTTTTGTGCTGCATTCAGTGCAGTGAATCTTGCCACATCAATTTCTTACATATATATAAATATTTACACTTAACTGCATATGTATTCTACAAAGATGTGTAAAGAACCGACAGATCACTGATCACTTTTCCTCACTTATTATGAAATATTTAAATAATACTGCTGCTAGCACTTGAAGTTCTCCTTTCATAGTATATAAAACATTTAGAATTAGGTACATAGTAATTATTGCAAAAGGTACTTTTGAAATTAATAAAGCTCAATTTTCATAAAATAAATTTGTTTGGAATCCTTCGCTCTTTGGGCATCTTATTGAAAACATCGAAATTGAAAGAGAATATACATATTGGAAAGGGAACATTCTTTCATCGTCATATTTCACATTCGAACTCAGATATCCGATGATTGAAGTACACCATACCGTGCTCTAAATCCTCACTAAACCCGCTAACATCCATATAGTCAGAGCCGGTCGCATCATCATCGACCCACTTGTGTAGAGAGCGTGATATCTCCTGTCGTGCATATGAAAAGGATGGACGTAGATGAGGATCCTTATGCCAACAGCGTACCATTAAATTGTAGAACTCATTACATCCTTCCTTAGGTAGCTCAGGCCTTAGTCCGCTCGGAACTCGTCGCATAACTTCCCTACCCGAATGATTGGCGTATGGTGTTGAACCTAAAAAAAAACAGTGAGTTTATATACACCCCGAATGGTATTTTAAATTCAATGTATACCAAGTGTTGCGATTTCCCAAAGGACAATGCCAAAAGCCCACATGTCGGTCTCCCGTGTAAAAACATGATATTGTAATGCTTCCGGTGCCATCCAACGAATCGGCAAAGCTGGCCTGCGGCTAATTGTATCATGGCCTTGACCAAGGCCATGCGAATTATATTTCTTTTCTTTTAGGTCTTTTTTTAAGGTTGGACTGCCATCTGAGCAATTTGAGTTGTTGTTGCTCCATTGGTTAACTGTGAAACGGCTTCGGAAATCAAACTTGATTTTTTTCGCATTACTATGAACTATTTCGTTGGCATGGCATTTCTCGGCCTCTTTTTTCTTATGCTCAGAATCTAAGTCAATCGACATTCCGAAATCGCAAATTTTACAAACTCCATTGTGATCTAGTAAAACATTTCGTGCTGCCAGGTCCCGATGAACGATCTAAAAATATAGAGACCCGTATAAAATGTACATACAACTACGAATATGTTATACCCTCTTTTCGGCGATATACTCCATGCCACAAGCAATATCCAGTGCGAAGCCAGCTAGCGTCCGTGGTGATAGAGGTGTTAGACTACGCCCTCCCGGTACCGACGCCGGTAGAATATTGGAAGCACTTCGCGCAGCCCGCAGTAATGAGAGCAACCTTCCCCTCATCGCGTACTCCATTATAAGCATGTGCGGCTCTATAAGTAAAAAAGTGTTTTTTTTTTTAATACTCGTCATGGATTTACTTCTTCAAAATGTGGAAAAACCCACCATTCTCTATGCATGCCCCAAGCAGTGTAACAACATTCAGATGCGAACCCAACTTTCTCATAATGTCCGCTTCCTCCTTTAGGCTAGTCTGTGCGCTGCATTTCCGAATGGTTTTAACTGCCACAATTCGTGTTGCACCAAAATGGCCGCTGAGGTCATCAGCCTCAGCTTTCCACACTTGTCCGAAATTTCCCTCGCCAAGCAGACTTTTCAGCCGGATATTGTTACGCTCGAATTCCTGGTCACTCGTCACAGAGGACTGTTCGTCATAGCGGTTGTTTTGGTTTACATCTCGAGATGTAATCTTGCCATGCGAAATCGTCTTATGATGGATCGATTGATGGTGCGATGTTTGAATATTATGGCGATCGGCATCATAATCTTCCTCCTCGTTTTTAATGCGGTATTTGGAATCAAGTTTCTTTACTGGACTTATGGGTTGTTGGTCGGTAATACACACATCGAAATCTTCTTCGTTTTTGATGCCACGGCGGAGCAGATAGGTATGCACAAAATAAAGAATAAGTGCACAGAGCGGTATTATACCGATTCCCGCCAGCACCATTGTGGCAATGTTAACACGTCGCATCTCGAGTGATACCTCGCTCTCCTCAGGCACATAAGTAGACTTTATATCTGCTCCAGCATCACTAGAGTGTTCATTCCGAGTTGATTTTTCTAATGAAGTTGTCTCAATAATGCCCACGAAAGAAGAACGATTAACTAAATTCATTTGGGTAGACGTATTTTCTACTTCCATAGCGGAGGTTTCAGTACGAGGATTCACAGTAGAACGCACAGAGGTCAGCACTGTGGTATGCAATATGGAAAGCTGGGTATCGGAAGTGTTTAGCACTGTCTGGGCGGTCGAATGATTGAGAAATATAACGAAATTCTCATCGTTTTCTATTACTTGCGTTAGGCTTGGTCCTAGTGATCGAAGTTTCTCTATATCTTCTTTAATATCAATTTTCGGCCGTGCAGTATTAGATAATGAGGAAACCGTTGTAGAACGTATGGTAGGGATAGTTGTTGGTACAGTTTCTGAATACAAGCCCTTACTAATTGAAGTCTTAGTTATGGAGGGAGTAGGAGTAGTTGAAGATGCACGGCTCGTACTGGGATAAGGCCCAAGAGATAGAATCTTTACTGGCACCACGTCTGTCACTGCTTGTTCCAGGATGTTTGGAAGTGGTGAAGAGCTTAAAGTTAGATTACCTATGTTTATAGTCTGCGTATCGACAGCTATACTTTTTTCTTGCGGTGTGATAAATTCAGACGTACTATTTTTTTGAAGCACTGACTCATTCATGGGACGCTCCGCCTGTGATGTTTCGTCTTCCTCGCCGAAGACCCGTATTATTAAAGGAGAGAAGGGATCTGAAGTGGTAGTCGATTGCACCGGAGGCGGTAATTTATAACTAGCTTTCCTTCCGACATTCGAGTTATTTGATTCTAAAGTTTTAATGGTTGAGGTTTCCTTTTCTGTTGCAGAATCATTAACTTTGATATTTAACAAGGGGGTGCTTCTGGCTTCTGATGGGTTAGTAGAACCTAATGCACTTGCGCGAATTGAAGGCCGCCGAGCATTGACATATCCCCGATCTCTGTATTTATACCGCGAACGACTGCGCTCTACTGCTGATAAAGTTGACGTAGATCCAACGGATGCCTGAGTAGTAGAAGCTAAGTGAGCAGCGGAAACTTCCAGCAACTTGGGGTGATCTTCACTCACCGAAGTGATTGTCAGAGTGGCTGGTTTAATTGGCGGTAGTTTTTGACCAAAGTACAAATACGGTTTTATATCGTCATCCTCAACGGAGCTGGGAGCTGCAGTTACTGGTACTAAAAGCTTATTTCTAGTACGAAATTTCGTACTTTTTGCCACATCTGGTATATGATTAGAAGTGTCATTTTGCTCCTTTGCCACAACAAATAGGCCATGCGATGATTCATCTGTGAAGAGAATTTCGTTGTTGTCCCGGTCGGAGGATTGGGTACCTATACCAGTTTGGGATGATGGGCGAACAATCACCATACTGCTCGCAGCCGTAGAGTTGGCGACTGGCCAAGAAGTCCGCGAAAAGTTGGAGCACTGCCTCATGCAACTAGCGGTTGTACGTCGCGTAAAATTCTTTGTGCAATTCCGTAAACATGCCGAGCGTGGGTCGGTTGGTGTCTTAGATGTGGTTCCCAGTGATGCTACTGAAGCAGTTCGCCATGTAGTTACAGGGCGGGTACGAAAGCTACCGCGATGCAAAGCATTTCGACGGGCGGCCAAAACGTTCATAAGCTTCCGCTCTCTCTCTTGCGCTGAGATGTTTTGTGTATTGGAGGGTCGTACAGGTCTGTATGTTGTTGGAGAAATGACTGGAATTTCCGATGCATCTGCAAGAAATAATAATACATATTATGGCATAAAGCCATATTATTCATCGTTCCAAATAGAGCTTGGCACTTTATGATTACGATTACATTTTGATTACTTAGGATTACGATTACTGTAATTGTAATCCCGAAAATTTTCAGCATTACGATTACTGAAATTGTTAGTGATGTGCTGAGTCGGTACTTTGAAGTATTGATCGATACTCGGTACCGAAATATTAGAATTTCTAATAAGAGTCCGCAATACCCACAAATATTGAATAAAAGCTATTGAGTGATCGTTGAAGTCATTAATCTATGGTTAAAGAAGTCTATTTATCCACATTATTTGGATCTGAACGTTCCCGTTACTAGATTAATATCTGCCTCTGCGGCAACCACAATGCAAATCGTAATAATGTTACGAATTAACAATGTTTCCGCAATAACTGTTGCAGTTGGTAAGGCTGTGGCAATAAGTGCAAGAAGGCTCAAATACTGACTGTTTATCTTTTGAGAAAGCATCGTCTTATTTGTACCTTTTTTCATATGTATAAAATAGCAATGATGCATCTTGTGGTTCAATGTTACTACAACTATACAGATTAAACTTTTATGAGATAGAAACTCGAAAGGATAACATAGTCAAAGATTCAAAGTACAAATTTTTCATCTAATGAAACTACTTCATAGTTTTTCTCTTTTTACTTGTAATATAAACATTTCTAAAATAAATGTATTATTTGATTGTTCTTCGTATTTTCTCTCTTTTTTTAGTGCCTTATTTTGCTTTTTTTGCAATACCTAGTGCCTTTTCCAGCCTATTTCGTTATTTTGTTTTGCCTTTTTTATAGGTTTTTAGGTCCTAAAAATCCGTTCCCTGCTTATGATTTTCACGGGGCATGAATTGGCAGACTATCTCATCAACTGGTATGATGCTACTAGTATTTCTACTAATAGATGCTGATGCATAGCCTGCCAATTGACATCTCATAGGATAAAGGAAAGAACGTGAAGTAGTTGAAACGCAAACCGGTAGAATTCTAGTTCACAACTATGTAGTAGCTTTCCCTGCAGGGTATCTTCAAGATCAATTCAATTTACATACATCGTATATGTAATACTTCCCGGGATTACAGCTCCTGACTCCCGAGATTTTTACTGATTCAATTACAGAATGAACGGGATGTTGATAACGAAAAAATAAATTTATTTGACATGAAACACGAGAAATACAGAACACTAAACGTTGCATTCCAAATGAACTTGAGCCATTTGTAATTGGAAGTGAATTTCAGGACCTGCCTAAATAACTGTAAGAAGTCGAAATCCCAAAAATTCTCGGGATCCCGGGTTTAGAATTTTTGCATCCCGTAGTCCCGGGATTGTTAAAATGCTTCGGGATTGAATGCCCTAGTACCCAGTAAAGTTAGCCAATCATTTGACGCAATTTGAGATTTCTACGCTAATCAATAAAGTGTTATCAAGAATGTACTCGATCCTTAAAAGTATCGATACCAAAGAACTCGATCCTCAAATTAGTCGATACTTCCTAAGATAAGATAAGATTTCAGACTTTTGATTGAAATAATTTACACTCACCTTCGGCGATGTCAAGCACTCCTTTCGAAATGTTGTCATTGTTTTCCGATTCGCCAGGAATTTGTGTCGGCTCCGCTTTATCTAATGTTAATGAATTCAATGCTGATATGGAGTGGTGTGAAGACGTTGTTGGTTCGGTGAATGAAGAAATAGTAGACGGCAGAAAAGTCGTAGATTCCTTGAATAAGGCTATTGAAAATCTCGAGCCTCCAACTTTTTCTTCATCTCCTAATTTTATATTTTGTGCTGATTGTGCATTGCGCCGTTTAAGTCCGTGGGGGTTACTGTAGATTGTGTTTTCTGTGGCGCCGACAAATTCCACTCCTGTCGATGTTTCTTGCACGCTGTCATATTCGCCTTCAAACGCACTACTTCTGCTGTGGTTGGCTGGTTGCGAACTCGCTATGTTCCTACCATTGTAGCCGCTGAATATTGTCAGGAAAAGCACCGTCACTATCAGCTCAACTTCGTATACTTGCCATTGATTTCTCATCATCACCATTTGTTAATGGTGCGAAGATGACGGACTGTCGCTGATTATAAGCTAGGGGCTAATTTAGCTACGCCTTTTTTAAGATTTCAACGTGCCTCAGTATGTATGTATGTATGTATGTATGTATATTCAAGCCACTTTCTTTTTAATGTTGTATATCTATTTCAACCGAATACATACTTAGATTAACGACCCATGGTGTTGATACATTCGTATAAATTTAAGTATTCCAATCAACTTTTCACTAAGTCTTTTGGTGATATAGTGATGAGCGTTTTTGATGCATTGGTTGCTGTAATTTAAAAATTTTAAAAGAAACATTAAAGTTTAATATAAATCTTGTGTAAATAACTTTTCAGGAAAATGTGTACCAGCAGCAAACATACACTTGTGGTCAGCTGATTAAGTTAAATGACATTTTGACCAATGTTGGTTATTTTTCTTTTGTTTATAAAAGTCTAGCACATTACATAACCAGCACCACATAAATCAACATTTCAAACTTCGTACAAAAATTATAAAAAATCAACAAACTTTAACAACTACACCCAAAAGTTTCAAACTTTTTATTATAAATTTTTAAAAAAATTATAGGTATGCAGTTTTATAGTCCATTAAATTTTAAATTTCAAAGACGCTGGAAAATCTTGTGCTAGGCATTTTCCTCCATATAAAAGTAATTAGCGAGCAGACTTTATATGTCTTAAAAAAAAAAACAAATAAGCCAATGTAGGGTATTTAGCACATTTAAAAAATCGATCCTTGAAGATTTATTGATGAAGTTTTGATTTGATTTTTTTTTAAGTTATAAACAAATGAACTTTTATATAAACTTTTTTTGTATTGCTATTTCTCAGTTAATATTTGATGAAAGTTAATGAAATTTTGATCATATGACTAGGATTTCATTTAAATTAAGACCACATAAAATAAAAAGTATATTTTTTTTGAACAATAACATTTTTGAAAACAAATAGAAATTTGTCCCAATTCTCAGAAACAAAATTTCTTCATTTTGTTATGTAGAATCTGCTGAAATAATTTCTGGAAAAAACTTTTAGTACATTTCATAAAAACAAATCCTACGAATGTTTAAAAGCATAGACAGACGCCAACGTTGATCCGGATTAACGCCGCAATTGATCTGATCAAAATTGTGCCTTGGCAAATGACGGTAATGCGGATTTACGAGCCGCGGGGTCGCACGTTCGAATCCCACGGCCAGTAGAATATTCATTTAATTTTTTTTATACCCGAGCGCACTTGTGGTACGAGCACCTCTTTCTGGCGTAGGACGGATGGTATTGAAAATGGGCAAAATCGGACAATAACCACGCCCACCTCCTATATAACGGTAATTTTCAGAAATACGAAAACTGCGATATTTTAGTAACTACTGGAGATTATTCACTCAAAATTTACATTTATAATAAGTTTTAGACGAAAAATAAGAATGTTATAAATTTTTGGAAAATGGGCGTAGCCACGCCCACTTATGGTTACATGTATATATCTTGGTAACCGCTACACCAATTTCTTCCAAACTTGGCACAGTTGTTGGCCCTAGTATAACATACGAAATGACCGAACAGTTTTAAAATCGGACAATAACCACGCCGACATCCCATATAACGGTAATTTAGAGAAATGCGAAATCTTCGATAAACCAGTAAATTTTAAAGCTAATTTATTCAAAATTGATGCTTAAAACAATTCTTTACCAAGAAATACGTTTATGATAAAATTTTGGAAAAAGGGCGTGGCACCGCCCACTTATGATCATATATATGTATCTCGGTAACCGTTCTACCAATTTGTACCAAACTCGGTGTGGTTATTGTACTTTCCACATAGAAGCAAAGCGTTGAAAATTATTGAAATCGGACTAAAATTACGGCCGCTTTTCATATAACGGTAAATTTCAGAAATGCTTGAAATTTCAATATTTCGAAATTTAAGGACGCTAATTTACTCAAAATTGATACACCCTTGCTTACCATGTAGCGGTAGCTTTCGGAAAGGTGAAAAACATATATTTAATACTTGCGCCGGGTATTTAATGTTCGGCTCCGCCCGAACTTAGACTTTCTTACTTGTTTATTCATTCAATTATAGCTTCTATATTTTTTTTAAGTGGTTTTTATTGGTTGTTCTTGACTTTTTTAATGAAATAAAATAAAACAAACGAAAATAAAATAAAGTAAAATTAAATATATAAATCAAATAAAATTAAAAAAAAATTTAAGTAACATTAAAAAGAAAATTGGTTCGCAATCGCTCCAACCGAGGATCAAATCTGAGACCTGCAGGCTTGTAGTACACAGCCCTCACCAAATTGTTTTCAAGTTGCACTTATTAGGGTTACAATGTTTTGTTTTAGAGACTTGCATTAATCAAGGAATTGCACGTATTTAGGGTTGCGGTTACCGTGTACCCACTGTATATATGCATTTTTCATCGGATAAACACAAATTAAGTTACGAACAATTATAAGGCTCAAACTACGAAAAAAGCGTTTTTATCCCTTAAGTCCAGATTGTGAGAGGGTATTCAAAATTCTAAGTATGCATAATTAGTTTTATAACTTTATCAGTCCCACAGTGTTAGTACCCCGACGAAATCCTTGACGGTGGTACCGGGAGGGGAGCGTTACATGACGGTAGAAGATTTAGTTTGGGTTGTAGTTTCACACTGACAGGTTTAGGCTGTCGATACTTCCGCCTCGTAAAAAAACATGTGCAGTAATAAGTTAATTATTTAAATCGACGAATAGTTTTATATAAACTTTTGTGAACTTCTATTTATGTGTTTGTGTACAACATTCCTCGATTGGCTACAATAATTATAAGCTATAATAACAATTTTTCAGTAATAGTTATTGATTTTGAAAAAACAAAATTATATTAAATTTCTTTCCGACTACGCCTGTGGGTAGGTAGGTATCTTCAATGTGCACTTAAGCATACAGGCAGCAAAGCAAAATATACTTTAATTATTAAATTACTCTTACAAGGCATATCACTCCACCTAATGACATTAGTGATGCTATAGATGGGCTATAGATCTATATCTTTCCGTCAATATTAGTGACAAGTAAAATTAAAAAGAGTATGAAAAAAGATTGCGAATTTCGACAACTGGGCGATACTAGTGACATTTACGTGCATATATATTTTTCTCTATTGAGTAAAGAAATGCGGTTGTATGTACTCAATTTAATGAAAAACGTACAAAATCAGAGTTTTCCAAATACTAGGGCGGGAAATCATTCCAAACCCGATGAACAACAATTGTTTTTGTAGGTCAGCAATCTCCAGGTTAGTCTTGGTTCAGTAGAAGCCTATCATTCTGCACTGATCAATCTGACCGGAGTTTTGCCAAACTGCCTGAGTCTCTCTGGGGACCCTATTTCATCGGTGGAGATAGTCGTGTCTGGAACTTGATTCGCTCTTATCAAAAAATTTACCATTTTACTTAGTTTTTCGTTTGACAGTAAAGTCCATTTTACGAATTGGCTTGACAATTACTGCTTTGGTTAAATCGAAAAACTAATGTAATTGGAAATTCTCCATAAAATATGTAGGTGAGTGCCCAATTGTAATTTCAATTTCCACATTTAAAGTTATGCAACTCGTAAATGGGGGTGTGTAACCCAATCCAAGTTGAACGAAGCATTCGAATGTTGTACTGCATAAGTTTTAACCAAACCTATTCCATATTTACAAATTCAAATACAAACATATCTACATACATACATACATACATAGTATAGGTATTTACATATGAGCATTTAAAAATTACATTAATTTAAATAAACGTATGTATGTATGTATGTATGCATGTATGTGTGTATGTATGTCAGTGCAAACAAACCGAAGAGAAACTTAAATAAAACTTTTCTAAATTGTGACTTTTCCACTTACTTAGTTGTACATGGTCGGTTAACTCGTTTCAGTTTCTGGTGTTCGTACCTAAACAAATACACACAAAAGCATGTATAGTCCATACTTACAACCATCTCGATTTAAAGCTTTAACTGGTATTTTTAAAACCACAAATCCCTATCCAACCTCAGCCGAAACCCAAACACACCTGTTGTGCTCAGAGCACACATGGAAGTGTGTGTGTGTGAGGTGGCATTTTCGTGTCGTTTTGTGTATTCGTTTTTGTTTTTTACAATTACACTTTACACCCCAGTCTAATCAAACACAAAGACTCAGAGAGTAATATTAGTTAGCTATTTTAATAATAAAGCAAATGTTAATGTTAAAATGTGAATGTTAGTACATATATACTGGCGGACATGCATAACTTGCCACCACTGCTTTTTATGAAGTAGATTTTCGTACATTAATGAAATTTTTGTTTAATATAGTTCATACTGTTAAATAAACTATATACATATCGAGCCCTAACCGCCAAAATAACGTAAGCGACATTTTTTTCAAAATTTTCTTTTTGATGCAGAACTATTCCTAGGGCATCAAGATACATTTCTGCATCAAAAATAAAATTTTGAAAAATATGTCGCTTACGTTATTTTGGCGGTTAGGGCTCGATATGTAAATGAAAGTTTGAAACATTTCAAACTATTCAATAAAAATTTTAGGAAAATTTTCGGGTATGCAGTTTTATATCAATTCTAGTCCATATAATAATTTGGAAGTTTGAAGAGGTCCGAAATTCGCGTTGCTTAAACAAAATATATATTGCGACGGTCTTTCGCCGTTTTTCCCATATATCGCATCCTTTTTATATAGGCGAAAATGCCCAATATTGTACAAAAAAAGTTTTCAAAAATCAATAAATATTTTCGCCATATTATTAGCAATGTGCAATACAAATTCCAGAACATCTGCATGTAAATATAGCAAATTTACTATACATATTACATATTTGGAATTATTTCGTAATTAAATGAATACTTTTTTATTACAAGAATGTACAAAGGTCGGACTAGAAATTGAATTATGGAGTTTAAATATCTGGAAGTAAGCAGCCCTAACCACTCGACAACGGCGGCCGCCGTATGGGTATTTTTTGTAAATAGAATGATATCGACCCCTGAGTGGAAGATCGGTCTCAGTGTTGCCGTTGAGAATTTTCAGAAAGTCGCAAAAAAGGGGTAATTGACGAAAAAAAGGGTCACCATATTATAATTGCTTTTCTTTACTAGTAAAAAAAAAAAACCTAACAGGCTAAGCTAATATTCGCGCCTTGCGTTTTGGTACGCACGCCGTCGAATTTGTTTTTTTGCGTCACCCGAAAGGCTTGCGTACGTTTGCATTTGATTTCATTGAGCGAAACGTCAAATCAAAATGTCACGCAGAACGAAAATTGGAAATTGGGTTAGCTTCATACGTACGCCGTTCAATTTCGATGAAAAATTTTTGACAGCAAATTGGCGGCGTGCGTGAATATTAGGTTAGCCTGTAAGATCCCAAGTCAAAATCAAATTTGCATGTATTATAACATTTTTTCGCCGCTAGAACTTTCCGTTGTTAAATTTAAGCAGAAAATGGCAGGACAAGCTTTAAACAAAACACAGAAATCGAGNTAAGATCCCAAGTCAAAATCAAATTTGCATGTATTATAACATTTTTTCGCCGCTAGAACTTTCCGTTGTTAAATTTAAGCAGAAAATGGCAGGACAAGCTTTAAACAAAACACAGAAATCGAGTTGCTGCAAGGAGGATTTCCTTTAAAAGCTTTAAAAGGTGTATTCTTTTCTTAGTATAGGGTAGAAATATTTCTTAATAGCAGAGGTCTAAAACAAAATCTCTGAAAAGGGGCAAAAGTCGCACATAATTTTCGAAAAGGGTCAAAAAATCAAAATTTTCAAAAAGTCGGGTCAAAGGGTATTGGTGCCCAAAAAGGGTCAAATTGTCCCTTTAGTCACACAACGGCAACACTGATCAACCTATCTCGGCAGCCAGTTCGAAAACGCCCTATCTCATAAAACTTTTCAAGAACACTCTACTTCAGATGTTGGTTGAAGAACGTCCTATCTCAGAATTCGGTTCAAAAACGCCCTATCTCAAATGAAAATACATTGAAAATGTTCTGATATAGGGCGCTTTGAACCGAATTTGAGATTGGCGTTCTTCAGTTAAATACTGAGAAAGGGCATTTTTGATAGTTAGGCGTTTTCGAACTGTGGCTGCCGAGATGGGTCGATCTTACACTCAGCTGTCGATATGGAATCTTAATTAGGGTGGAAAATCATATACATAAATAACCGAGGAATTTCTACTTCGAATTTAGAGAGAGCACACACATAAGTATGTAAATTAGTCGGCCTCAGACGCGGCATGTGTGTACATCAGTGTTGCCAGCTGAGAATTTTTATGTACCATAGTGCCTACCATATCAGTTTCCAAACTACCAAACATTTTTCTATTATTAAAACGAAATTCCTTGAATTCGCGGACTTTTTAGCTACACAAATTAGCAGTAAAAATTAATTAAAATTTCTCTCAAGATAGGCAATTTTTCATTAAATTTCAACAGCTGATCCAAGGCATAACAAGGTAGAAGTGATTTCGACATTTCTCTCTTTTGAACTGCGACTGAAATGTAAATTTTCAATTGTGAGCTGTGCGACTGATTTTAAATACATAATAGAATGAAAAGGAATTGCGAGCGGTGCGTTGTGTTAGTCAAGAGCCTGGACAACAAACTTGTGCGTTATTTTAAACACTCGAATTGTCAAGTGAAGCGGCAATGGTGGGCAAATTGCTGCGATGTTTCATTAGGAGACTCTTCACGTGTGGTCGTGACTTTATTTGTTGCCCATCGCAGCCGAGTATTTCTAAGTGGACGCGTTTGGTCCCAGGAGCAGGATTTATCATACCGAATATGAAAAGAAAATCTCCTTTCATATACATACATGGATAGGCCAAGTTTCAAATGGTGGTCTGATAAAACCTAAACCAGTATTCCTTGTTGACATAAAGAAACTAAAAGTAATTTTTAATAAATTTAATGGGGAGGAAATTTCGAATAGCAAAAATTTAATTGCTAAATTATTGAAGTTAAGTTCTGATGTAAATTTAGAAGATTCAAACTTTATTAATGACTAATATACTTTAGAATTAAGTATTTCAATAAAAAAATAAATGCTCAAAAACATTGGGATAGTAAAGGCAAGAAAACTGTCAAAACGGTTTTATAAATGAGTGTGTTTCATTTAGTGCGTAATTTTGTGTAAGTATGCATTCCCATATTTACATTAAACCGAAAATTCAATAAATAAAATGAAACTGATTCTAATGAGATTTTAAATATTTTCATATTTACAAAAACTTTCATTTCAAAGATGTTGAGTTCTATCAAATATGGTAAATGCATAACAAAGGGTTAATTTCTTTGTTTACATTTTTTGACATTACAGTCAGGTATGAGAGAGCTCAACTGAATTGTCACTTCTACCTTGTTGAATATGCCTTGAGCTGATCCATGATAAAAACCANGTAGAAGCCAATTCGACGTCAAACCTACAAAAGTCAAAGTTTTCGTGAGAGTAAAAATAAAAATGAGCGTGTGTAAGGAAAAATTAAAAAATTACATATCACTGATTGACGTTTTAAAGTAAATTTGAAGTTTATTTTTATTTATTTATTTTCTTTAGTTAAAATTTNTCAAAGTCAAAGTTTTCGTGAGAGTAAAAATAAAAATGAGCGTGTGTAAGGAAAAATTAAAAACTTACATATCATGGTTGACGTTTTAAAGTAAATTTGAAGTTTATTTTTATTTATTTATTTTCTTTAGTTAAAATTTGTTAACTTGTATGTTGTTTTCTGTTTTTTATTTATGAGTTGCAGTGTTGTTGGAGGTACTTTTCGGCATAAGGGACATAGGAACAGCACTTGGCATCAAACGTGCCTTTCCTGTAACTTCCGGTGTATTTGTGAAATCTGCTCCTTTAAAATGCTTAACGCACAGTAAGGCATTTCGCTGCAGCTCTTCCCCACAGCTGCTTTCGCAACGCTCCTTACGCGAAGGACATTGCGGCACGTTAAAAAAATGTGTGGTACCTGCTTTATATTTAACACCACATAAAAAACAACAACAAGTTGAAGTTTAAAGGTTTGGTTCTCATAAGAGCAACGTCGTTTTGGCTTCTACCTGTATTTATGTGCCTTGGGCCGTATGCATGATTCAATAACACAAGGTTATGTAATTTGTGACAGCTCAAATCTGACACTCCTTTATCTAGATTTGTATTTTGGAAGTAGGAGAAAGGGGGAGAATGTGATCGCCTTTTGCGAAAACGGTAGTAGAAAGGTACTAAAAAAGTGCGCAAAGTATACAATTAGAAACAAAATGTGTATTATTAATTCTATGTGAATTTGCTATATAATTGAGTTTTTAATGGAAATACTAAACAATATGTAAAAATATAGATTTTTAATTTAAGTTATTCGTCATTTCCTGGAACAAATCTATAATACCGACCGTACAGCTATGCAAAAATGAAAATTGCAGATCAATAGAACTTTTTACGCTCATTGCAGCCATGTCAAAATTATTTAGCGCATGTAAAATATAAAGAAGTTTTAGAAGGTTAAAGTTAAATTTTTTGATTTTTTTTTAATATGAACCACATAACCGATTAAAGAACTAGTAACGTAACCATAAAAATAATCAATTTATCTTCCAGCTGATATACATAATTGAAATTGGTTTTTATATATTTAAACCAAAACCACTAAAAAACGAATAAATGATATTTTTTCATGAAATAACTTTTTGGAAAAAAATGCATGATTAATGGTAAAGAAATGTTTGTTATTTAAAGAATAAAGTGATAATAAAAAATTTAATTAAACAAGACAATTAAACCTCATATATCTTCTTTGTTTTTTACCTGCGCCAAATAAATTTGATATCGTTGAATTCAGCGTAAAAANGACAATTAAACCTCATATATCTTCTTTATTTTTTACCTGCGCCAAATAAATTTGATATCGTTGAATTCAGCGTAAAAAGTTCTACCAATCGGAACTTTTTGTTATTTTATAGCTAAACGGTCGCTTGTTCCAGAAAATTACGCAAACGAAGGTGATGCCAGCGTATATTTAGTATGAAGAATTTTTGGTTTTACTACTAATATAGCTAGAAACTGTAGAGTGAGCAACATTCTGCACAAGTAAAGGAGCCGATTTTATGTGTGGGAGCGAGAAAACTGTTTTATTACAAAACCTTGCTATTATTGAATCATGGCTTCTACCTGTATTTACATATGTGCCTTGGGCCGTATGCATAAAAAATAAGCAATAGCTTTTTCTTAAAATTTCTTACAGTTTACTCGATTTATTCAAACCAAAAAGCAATCGCTTTGTTTTTATTCATTCGGCCCAATGTCAGCATAGAAATCCAGCGCAGAATCCCTCTTGCCAACAAGTGCTAAATACTTTGGACTGCGTAGGCAATTTAGGAGTAAAGTCCTCTCTCGACGTACGAAAACCGCACTCTATAAGTCACTCATCATGCCCGTGCTGGTATATGGCGCAGAAGCATTGACAATGACAACATCCGATGGGCCGGCTCTTGGAGAATTCGAGGGAAAGATTTTGCGGAAGATTTACGGGCCTTTACGCGTTGGCGACGACGAGTACCGCAGACGACGGAGCGATGAGCTGTATGAGCTTTACAACGATATTGACATATGCAGCGAATTAAAATACAGCGGCTCCGCTGGCTTGGCAATGTCGTTCGAATGGACACCGACGCTCCAGCTCTGAAAGTATTCAACTCGGAACCCGCTGGTGGTAGCAGAGGAAGAGGGAGACCCCCACTGCGATGGAAAGATCAGGTNGTTATTTAAGACGGCAATGGAGGATATGGCTTCTGTCGAACACAAAACTAAACGTTTCAATAAAAAAAATAAAAAAAATAATATTGGGGGGACGAAGTCCGCCGGGTCTGCTAGTACATCAATAAATATTTCAAATATTGATAGTTACTTACCTTTTGAAAGTATTTAGTTTGAAGTCGGACAGTTTCTGGATAGCCGACACCGTTGTCTCACTCAGCACTTAAATGTCATTGAGCACCATTTCTGCAATGCTTTGGATTATGGGTGTCTATTGAATTCTTAATCGAACTAATTTTTGTTTTAAATGTTACACTCGCGAAAACTTTTATATTGAAAACTGTGCGAGTCTGTTACCTTAGATTTTCTATAAATATTTTTTTACACTCTGTATAGTCTTGGTATTCACATTGTAGTTGTGGGAGTTAAGTGCCTCTATTGCGTCCATTTCGTTGCTATTATTTTTAAGAAAAATGCATGCATAGTATACATATGTATATGTACATTCCTACATGCATACATACATATGTATTTATAATAAAACTTCTAAACACATGCATATGTACGTACTTTTGTATGGATGTAGTATATCCACTAAACACATTAAAATCAGTACTGTTTTTGTTCTCATTTGTTGTTTGAACTTCTGTTTTTGTTTTATTATATGATTTTTATACATGTAAAATATACATATGTACGTATGTCAAGTATACATACAAATCTACTTATGGTTGTATGTATGTATGCACTTGTTTCTCTTCTTACGCGATTTAATTGGATGTTTTTACATTTCTCAAGTTATTTTTTTAGCACGACTTTATATATTCTTTGTAAAAGACCGGGAACATTTTTTCACGTTTGGAAAATTATAATTTCCTGTAAAATCAATCATTGCAAATGTATTACATACTTGCATGTACATATATGTATGTGTGCATATGTACATATGCATGTATATGTATACATATATATACATACATACATATTATATGTATGTATGTATGTGTGTAAATAAACTTGCATATTTTCATGACGAAACTACACACATGTTAAAGGCGTTTTCAATGATGTCCAAATAAATTTAAATTTAAAAAGTTGATTTTGAATCGGTTTTAGACTTTGGCGGTTATAATACTTATTTATCTTCTCCATTGTGTTTTTTGCACGAATTACAACAAAATTTTCCAAAAAATTTAATTTCCCTGCTTGTTTTATAAACTGGTTTGCTTATCACCCAGTAAACCGTATTAACATACGATCAGGTGTATTAACGTACATGCATATGTATGTACATATGTATGTATGTATGTATGTATGTATGTATGTTTGCCATACATATGGAAGTGCTTTGTTGTTCGTCGTAGGTAGTCGACGTGCTTTAACATACACACGTATGTCTTTGTATCCACAGTGTAGATTCTACACAGTAGCGTAACTATATCATCTGAGGCCCGTGGCAAATTCTTTGGATGGAGTCCTCCCAGTAAAAATCGTCACGTTGTAATATTTTTTAATCAACCACTTAAGTTGTTACCCAACACTATTAACAATAATGTGTGCATTTTAGTTAAATATTAAATAAATTTTTGTTTTCAAGAACATATGTAGGTTTATACATACAAATTTTTAATGAAATAATCTAATTTTGATAAGATATTTATTAGTAAAATTTATTTTCCCTAGCTTTTTGTTCCGCAAAGGAATGTATATCAAAGTTTAAAGACAGAGCCATAGAATTTTCAGTAGACAGAATAGCCAAGTTACGTAGCCTGTTTTTTCCCATAGAGTTTCTCAAATATGTCTTTATTAATTTTAGTTTCGAAAATGATCGTTCACCTGTAGGCACAGGAATTGGAACAAATAATATTAATGCAGTACATACTTCAGGAAAGCAGGACGACATAAAAGAAAGTAAATGTATACGGGCATTTCCTCCTAACTGATTGCGCGTTGAAATATCTCTATTCGTTTTTTTATTTATAAGCTTAAGTGCCGGGAGTGAACGTAAGATTCGCGAACATACGATTTTTCCATCATTTTGTATGCCTTTCATGAACATGAGATGGTATTATAAATTTGGCCCAATGTTCGTAAGTACCAGAAGAAATAGACCCACATAAATGTCGAGCTGAGTCCATCTATCTGTCTGTTTTAACGCAATTTAGTCCCTCAGTTTTCGAGATATTCGACTGAAATGTGGTAAGCGAGTGTATATTCGTAGTGTATCAATCATTTGTCAGAACCGTCAAAATCGGTCCACTATAACTTATACCTCTCATACAACGGATTACTCATTTTAATTCTCGGTCCTGGTTGGCTATTCTGTGGAAATGTTCATAAGGTCTTTACTTGTGTCTCACTTTAATTGATTTTAAGTACTAAACAAATTATAAGTTTTAAAAATATTAGGATATTTCTGAATCAACGGTGTCTCTTGGCCCGGGCCCTCTCGGATCCGGGGGGGGGGGCCAGTGCCACCCTATAGTTACGCCTCTGTATCTACATACATATGTATGTATGTATGTATATACATGCACATACATATACAAATGAACAGTATATACGAGTATGCATTTGTCAATAGTATACACACACATTCATACATATCGAGCTCTAACCGCCAAAATAACGTAAGCGACAATTTTTTCACAATTTTCCTTTTGATTCAGAAATATTCCTAAAGCGTCTGGATGCATTTCTGCAACAAAACAAAAAATTGTTTAAAATTTCGCTAACGTTATTTTTGCGGTTAGGGCTCGACATCTTCGTTTATTATTGAGTACATTAAAAAATTCACCAACACTAATACATTTGCACATTACTATATGCCCCAAAAATAATTGCATATAGATATACATAATTGCATTGTGTACACTCCCACCTGTTGAAAAACTTGGAAATTAATGCACTGTTTTTTTGCATTAGCTAAAATTTCAACGCAATATTCTTTACTTTTTGTTTATATGTAAGTGATTCGAAAAATTTCGTATTTTACTCTTGTTTTTTGCACCGCACTAGTATTGACACAGCAAAACTAAGTTTCACTAGCACAGGTATAATGCATACACATACACAAACATATGTATATATGTATGTATATAGTATGATGTGTAACTATTTTCATTTTTTCCGCTAAGTCTGACTTCAACCGGTAGTTTCTTGACGTTAACTGAATAGAGCATTGAAGCTTCGGCTGATTCGGAGACGAATTTTGGCCAACATATGCTTATAAAATGGCCGACTTGACGGTTATATTTTATATTGAGCTTGAGCTTGAGCTTTTAAAATTTGTTTTTTTGTTCCCGCTCTTTTCTTTTCAAAGCTAAAGGGCCATCTACACACAACATTCCGCCTGCCTTGGCGTTCGCTATGATATTTATGTATTTATTTATTTATTTATTTATTTCTGTCTTTGAAACAGAATTTCTTACAGACAATGATTAAATTTAGATTAGTTAAACAGTTTGAATAAACTTAATTTAAACAATAAAGGCTAGCGTTGAAATTTATTAGCGCAGAGTGTTTGTTACAAAGGGCGAATAACTCTCGCTAACGGTTCGTTGTACGAGTATAGCAACTTATGCGAACCCTCAACGAACATTTTAGGATTTATGAAATTAATATTAGATTCCTGAATTTGAAAAATATTAGATATCTCTGGGCAGACAATGCTGCCAGAATATTGTATGCAAATATCAGCGACAAATACGCCCTCCTGTCAGCTAAAGATTGGAAGCCAAAGAGTTTCATCCTTGAGGTGTATTCTGGAATATCGCGGCCGTTGAAAAATTTTTTCACGGCAAAGCTGCTAAATTTCCTTTGAATGTTATCTATTCTGTCAGAGCGATGTGCACAGTGTTGCCGTTTTAGCCTGTTCCGGCTAGATTTAGCCGGTTGCGATAGCAAACAGCGGGAGAAAATTCGGTTTAGCGGGCAGCCGATTTGTTAGCCGTTTTGTAAAAAAAAAAAATTTGCCGGTTTTAGCCGATTTCGCTATTTGCTATTCGTCTTATTTTATTAAAATTCAAATATATAAGTTTCTATTTTTACAAATTTGGGGATCCAAAATCTATAAGAAATGGCTAGTCTTATCTCCGAGAAAATTTTCATGTCAGACTGTGTTATATAAAATCGAAAGACAATTTTTTCTAATCCGAAGTCTTTACGTTTTTTTGTTTTATGCGAGTGACCCAAATACATATAAACTGGGACGCGCCATTTTAACTGATTAAAAAGTTACAAATTTTGCTGAAATTTCGCAGAATTTTCATCATTTTTACACAAAGTCTGAATTCTGGATGTTGTATATGGTGTTTGTTAAGTAATTAGCAACATACAGTGGTCCACAAAATAATAGGAGTGCGTTATTTTGGTCAGTTTTTGCTATTTGTCTTTTGTTTATTTAATGTTTATTATTTTTATACAAAAGTCAAGCTGGGTATACAACAAACAACGAATAAATTCAGATTTCAACCTTTGTACAAAAATTATTAAAATTCTGTAAATTTTCACCAAAATATCAAACTTTTTAACCAGAATCTTCAGAGAAAATTCTGGTATGCAGTTTTATAGCCCATTCAATTCTAGTCTGAAGAAGTGCAAGTTTCAAGCTGCTAAAAAATTCCGTTGATTTTTGGCAATTTTTTTTGCTGGCACTGTCCCCATATAAAAGAAAATTGTCGAACATACTTTGTATGGAAAAAACGTGAAACACTTTCAACCGAAAAAATTCTCAAAAATCAACGGAATTTTTTAGCAGCTTGAAACTTGCACTTCTTCAGACTAGAATTGAATGGGCTACAAAACTGCATACCAACATATTTTCTAAAGATTCTGGTTAAATAGTTTGAAATTTTGGTGAAAATTTGCAGAATTTTTATAATTTTTATACAAACTTGAAAATGTAAATTTATATGGTGTTTGTTGTATTACCAGCTAGGCTTTTACAAAAAAATACGAAACATTAAATAAACTAAAGACAAATAGCCAAAACAGGTTAAAATATCCCACTCCTATTATTTTGTGGACAACTGTACATATTCACAAAAAAAAAAAAAACTAAAGAAAAATAGGCAAAACTTGCTTGAATGCGGCGGCCTAGTTTATATTTTGAAGGACGTAGCGGGTATTTTCTTCATAAAATTTTTTTGTGATTGTCTTAAATTTAAGTTTCATGTTTTTAGAAAATAAAAGAGCACGAATTTCAATGTGGAGCAAAACTCTCTTTGAAGACAATACCTGTGAATAATTGAATCATGGTGCAAACATGATTTATTTTCGTTATTATACCCCAGCGCACTTGTGCACAAGGGTATTATAACTTTGTTCACATAACGGCTATTTGTAACAGGCAAAAGCGAATCGAGATAGATATAGACAAATGTATACATAAATGATCAGGATTAAAAGAGAAATCGGTTAAGCGGTGACTGTCTGTCTGTCCGTCCGTCCGTCCGTCCGTCCGTCTGTGCACACGATAACTCGATTAAAAACTGAGATATCTTAACGAAACTCGGTATGTGCACTTCTTTCGGGGGTAGGACAATAACCACGCCTACCTCTTATATAACGGTAATTTTCCGAAATACGAAAACTACGATATTTTAGTAACTACTGAAGATTATTCACTCAAACTTTATATTTACAATAAGTTTTAGACGAACAAGTAAGGAAGTCTAAGTTCGGGCGGAGCCGAATATTAACTACCCGGCGCAAGTATTAAATATATGTTTTTTCACCTTTCCGAAAGCTACCGCTAGATGGTAAGCCGGGGTGTATCAATTTTGAGTAAATTAGCGTCCTTAAATTTCGAAATATTGAAATTTCAAGCATTTCTGAAATTTACTGTTATATGAAAAGCGGCCGTAATTTTAGTCCGATTTCAATAATTTTCAACGCTTTGCTTCTATGTGAAAAGTACAATAACTACACCGAGTTTGGTACAAATTGGTAGAACGGTTACCGATATACTTATATGTGATCATAAGTGGGCGGTGCCACGCCCATTTTCCAAAATTTTACCATAAACGTATTTCTTGGTAAAGAATTGTTGCAAGCATCAATTTTGAATAAATTAGCTTCAATATTTACTGATTTATCGAAGATTTTGTATTTCTCTAAATTACCGTTATATGGGATGTGGGCGTGGTTATTGTCCGATTTTAAAAAGTTTCGGCGGTTTATTATGCTGTACCAAGGCCAACAACTGTGCCAAGTTTGGAAGAAATTGGTGCAGCGGTTACCAAGATATATACATGTAACCATTAGTGGGCGTGGCTACGCGCATTTTCCGAAAATTTATAATATTCTTATTTTTCGTCTTAAACTTATTGCAAATATCAATTTTGAGTGAATAATCTCCAGTAGTTACTAAAATATCGCAGTTTTCGTATTTCTGAAAATTACCGTTATATGGGAAGTAGGCGTGGTTAT